GTGAGCAAAGCTAGTATTGAATAGATTGCTGATACTTCGAACCGCTACACCCGCGTTTTTTCCTTGGCGTGCTCAGTAGAAGGTGATGGTACAAACCGGGTATTGTCCATTCATTGACCGTAAGGCTGCGAAAGCCCACACGCGTGCCCTTATTTAGTTATGTGTTAATTGCCTGAGGAATTTCCTACAAGTCTATCACCCTTGCTACCGTGTTCACACTGTTGATACAAATTTTCAACGCTTCGAAATTTGTGTCGCAGGACTTATTTGCCAACCTAATACTTGGAGGATTCGTAAGATTTGCCGTCTGTTGGTGGAATAGATAGAGTAATCTTTGGCTGTAATTGACTGGATATGGTCATGTGCCTTCCGCAAATTGGGTAACTCCTCCTCCTCCTCCTCCTCGGCTATTCATCTTGGCGGATAACAAGCCCAGATTCTCCGTTTCTTCTGCAGTGTGAGTCACAACGCTTGCAAGCATACATGGCGTTTGGTTACTGGGGCCTCTGACGGGTGATAAAACTTTTTGAATGCCCGATCATGCGTCTCGTCTGAATATCCAAACAACAGTTACTGTTTTAATATGAGCTTTGAAACATGGGTGATGTTTGTTCAGTAAAATCATCCTCTTCACTGCTTTTTATGACTAAGAAGTAGGTGAGCACACAATGAAGACGGATTTGAAGGGAAAGCCCAAGCGGAGAGCCAGCGATCCCATAAAAACCGATGCACTGTACTTTGAATGGTTCCGTGATCAGATCGAATGAGTCGACTTCAGCAAATCGTACTTCCCCTACGTTCTCTGATTCAGTCGTAAGGAGAGCAAGGAATGTACCGGGAATGTGAGACCGGGAATACTGAGAATGATTAAGCAAGGGTCAATGAGTAATGCTAGGCCGTTATTCTTTGCATTAGACCCAAAGTAATCGGATTATCTACAAGATTTCCGCTCACTGGTCTGACTTGCACACTATTCTTTTAACAAAGACGCAACTTATAGACTCAGACAGTAGCTCATAGAGCACTCTTCGTGAATCATCTTGCATTCGTAGAATCCAAGGGGACAATCAGAGTTCAGGATTATATCCGGGTACGCGATCGCTGCACTCATAGCTTGCTGGGCAGCAAGCTTATCTTTAGGTCACCATATTGGCCTCGGGGCACTCCGATTTTATCTCATCGCAACAGGGTTGCCTATGGCAAATTGTTCTCCATGAGGGTAGATGAGATAAGACCAACAGATGTGATGAGTGATGAATCCCAGTCCACGAAACTTACCTTCGTCTTCCTTTACATTGGAACAGAGAATAAATGGGAAAATCTTGTTNAGAAGTAGGGGAATAAGGTGTGAAAAGTGAAAACCTTGGCGTGGGCCAATAATTTTCGCAGACCTGAGTTGGCACATAGGGCTCAAGTGCAAATTCCTTGATGTGATTCGATTCTCTTCGTAGTGTATCCAAGGAAAACACCGCGGAAGTGCTCAAGTACTTGGGCAAGGAGTGTGCTAGACCTGGATTCTACAGAGATTGAACTCTTTAGTAGAACCACTAGTTAAATACAGGCGTATAAGAAAGGTCAGGAAGATCTTACATATGCATTGAGTAGCAATGGTTAGTATGGGGTTATATTCTGCCCTCTTGCAATTCAAATCAATCGCATTTTCTAATCGTAATTTGATAAGCATCCAGCATCTGTAAGCATGCAGATTGCACCCTAAAAATGCTCATGTTCCTCAACACCATCCACCATTTTGAATAAAAATAGCTTCAGTAAACCACTAAGTAAAACTAGTGAAGACCCCTCCAACCCCGACTTAGAAGCTTCACTACACAATTACTGATGCTAATAATGACGATGCTAAAGATACGTAACGGTTACGTTAATTGAATGAAACCGTTCACTGCTACCCATTCCAATAGGACCCACAAATTCCTGGCTATCAATGCAATTTTTCAAATTCCAATGTGAAGCCCTCAGCGAAAAAAATGAAAAATAGCTTAGTAGACAACAAGAATTTGCCGGCCGAAAATATATCGCCAATATAACAGACCACCTCCCGCTGGCCTACCACCTCAACGCGGTGGGTGTGTGAACGTGCGGCGT